GAAAATTTAGCGCGTTTAATTGTTACGCATTATACTGTATAGGTATTTTGATCAAGAAATATTGTAAGTTAAATTTAAAAATGGATAGATTTTTAAAAAAGCATAAATTAACAGATGACAGTGATGTTAGTGCAAATGACAACAATTTAAATATTAAAATTAATATTAAACAATCAGCTTTAATAAGTGATAAAAGTTAAAATTTAAAAATTAAACGTAAATATGTTGATAATTATTTATGTTTTGGATTTACGTGGAATGATGACATTGATTATCCTTTAACAGTTTGTATCGTTTCAACTGTTTTACTCGTAATAGAGGAATTATGTATAAAACACCAGTCTCAAATGTCAAATTAAATTTTTATTATATATATTATATTAATATAATTATTTTATAGTACATTATATATAATTATGATATAAAGTATATTCATTATTATTTATTTAAGTGTGCTGTGAAAATTTTTAAAATGATCAAGTTTGCCGTTAAGTAAAAAAGGTTGGGAATCCCTGCTGTATACAATGGGAAATATGTTTTTTTTTTTATTATCTTAAGTATTATCACTATTATGTCTAAGGAAAATACAGTATAAAATTTACGGGTACACTTTTAAAATTTAAATTTAAATAAAAAGTGTTCAATAATTTTTCAATCGATTGATTAATAATATTTTAACTTAATCTTGAATAAATTATGTATGTACCTAATTACTAATCACTATAATGACTTCTTTAAATAAGTAAGTTTAATTTCCATATTCCTCTATTTTTAAAACAGTTAATAAAATATTGCACTTAATAAATTAATTTTTCTATAAGTACATTCATTAATTTAATAGGTTATTAATATAAATCTTTAATCAATCATTAATATAAATATCAATCATTAATCAATTGTCCTAAGATAATAATTAATTGTGAAATAATAGAATAATCACGCAGCCCTACAATCGATACAGGTAACATTTTTCTCGGGTTCTTATAAATAAGATACACATATATTTACTATTTTATCGTTATTTTTAAAATTATTTACACATTTTAATCAATATTAAATAGTTTAACTCTAGATACGTACTGAAACTGTTAGTAATTATATGACTTGAAACTGTGTAATGTGTTGGTAATTAATTGTAATTACTAATTTGTAATAGTGTCAATTGAGTTATTTATCATACGTTCTTACTCAATACTTATAATTTATGTTATTATATCATAATATATTATGATATTAAAATATCGTCTATTTATTGAATTTTAAAAATCGTTCTATAAAATATTATTGTGAACTAAAAATTAATTTCAGAGGGTAATTTATCTTATTATTGATTTAAAATATCATATAGATATAGGTAATAAACACCATTATATTTAGTGGAAAGATTAGTTCGCGAACGCACGTTTAAGCGTTCGCGAATGCACGTTTAAGCGTTCGCGTTTATATTTTGTGAACACGCGAACGTCAATCATTTTTTTTAAATAAATCGTGAACATGAACGACGTTTATATTTGTAATGATTTTGAAAGATTTTTAAAGCGTTAAAATTGATTTAACATTTTAAAAATGTACGTATAAATAATAAATATTGATTATAATATGTTTTAGAGTAAGTTTTAAACATAAAGTAAAATATACCTAATACTCGTAAATTTTGTAAAGATCTAATTTATACAAAATACAGGATGGTGAAAATTAACGGCCAAATAAACGCATTCACTTTTTCATAGAACTTGAACGTGAACGTGAACGAGTTCAATTTTTAAGTGAACATTCCGGAACACTGGTTATATTATATTGGTTTACATCGAAATGAGTAAATATATAAAAAAAACTCTGGTATGTTTAATTATTGAATCACAGTGTCGTCGTAAACGGGCAGGCAACTTAGGTGATTGCCTAGGGCTCCGCACTTATGGATAAATCCAGGATTCCATAATTTGTCAAGTTGGAATAGTTAGATGTATTTAAGTGTAAGAAAATTGTACTGCTTTTGCCTAGGGCCTCGCAAAAGCTTGCGACGATACTGCTGAATCATTATTGTTTAGCACTCAAAAAGATTTTCTACATTTGAAACGGTTTTAAACAATTTTTTTTGTTACTTAGAATAAATAGAACTAATTAAATAATAATGATATATAAGTAATGCTGTTTAAATTATTTAACAAATGGTAGGATAAGATTTGTTGCCTACTGACAAGATTTACCGTTTTTTTAACATCATGTTGATAATATAAGTAACATGTCCAAGTTAAAGAGTATAGATAATTTAAATATAGTATTTTAAGATTTTAATTTTTATTGTTTTGAAAGTAATTATAATTATTTTGAGGAGTCAACTGATTTTGTTTACTTATCATAAATAATTAACGTTAATATAACATTTTGTGAACTGGTTTTGAAATGTATAGTACCTACCGACTTAATTTATGTGTTTACTTATTATTAATCATAAATTATTTTTATTTGAGTTATAAACATTTACTAACCACTGTGTTAAAATAATTATGTCAATATAATTAGATCGAATGCCTAAATCTTCCAATAATAATTAATGTAGTTAACGATTAAAGATTAGAAGTATAATGCCATATTGGTAAACAAAATGTCAAAACCCATGATATTATATATTGGACATCATTTAAGATATACAAATGTAATTATTACAGACTATAGAAGAGTATATATATATATGTATAATTAATAATTGATTGATTTTAAATATTATTTAGTACGATTTCAGCGTTCGTGGTGAGTGCATGTGTAGTGTTATGATGTTTCTGGTGACTAATATTATTATTGATTAAAACGTAAATGTTTAACTGAAATTAGTAACATATAAATGTATATATATTCCATAGTTTTATAAATATATATTTATATGAATATAAGTTATAATTGCATAATTTATTAAACATTTTCAATGAAATGACTATATGATGTTACTAAATACTATACAATTCAAGTATGTAGAATAAAATAAATATAAATGTAGTTAAATAAACACTTAAATTTAATTAAGACTTATATTATGTATATATATATATATATAAGACCTCGATGAAATTATTAATTTTGTAGAAGTATGAAGTATTATCATCATATTATACACTTAAATTTGTTATATTGTGTTATATGTGATATTAAGTTGATATACGATCGAATGTTTAGTCGGAAATCGATATATTTATATTTTATTTATTTTACTAATTTTTGAAAGTTGCGCAGGTTAGATACCTAACAATATTATTTTTACGTTATTGTAATAATCAACTATATCTACCTGTTCTAAATAATTATTGTCTTTAAAATATAATAAATAAACGTGTGCATCTTCTTTTAAATTTAGAAAGTTATATACTTCGTAAACAAGTAGTGCGTTTTAATCAAATAACCTCGATATTGTAATTTCCTTACTATTAATTTTTAACGGGTTTTATTTCAAACAAAATCATTTTAGGGGGTTAGTATAATGGCTATTTAATGTTGAATATATAATTTACTAATTTATTTTACTTTAATAATTCGAGTAGTATTACGTATTTTTTTAGGAAATACTACTCATTTAGGTATAGCTACTTAAAATATGTTTTCTCGAAAAATTAAATTAAATTGTAAGAACATGAATAAATCAATATATTTAAAACGTAATCAGTTTAGTAGCACAGTTAAATTTAATATTATAATGAAGTGTATATTTGTATAACAGTTTTTGTAGTAATCTAATTATTACGAATTTGTTGGTGTAATGTTTTTTGTTTATACGCAGGTACATGTATCTATACAGCATATCAATACAGGAATACCTATATTTAATTTTGTGCTTTGTGTGGTCTTTTTTTTTTATATTATTATTATCGCAGGTACCTAATTGGTATATACAACTGCAGCAATAATAACAATATAATAGCGGTTTAACATGGTTTCCAGTGCTTTTGATGAAATAAAAATGAATTTAAACACGTACACTGGTAACTAATGACTAGTAAGTTTTGTGTTGAACATTCCGTTTATACAAAAATAACATCAATAGACTGTAACATGGTATTATAATATAGACAATAGTGTATTAATAATTGTAGCCTACGTGTAACCATAGGCGCGGATCAATGACGGATAATTATATTATTGTTTGTTCCAAGTTAACATGGCTTATAAAATTGATTTCCACGAGCAAGAAAAAAGTTATAGAAAAAAGCCGTAATTTAAAATACAGCGTTTCAGTAAATACCGCCTATACCTACGAAATAGATTTGATTTCGTGGCTAGGTAAGGACGATTTTTTTGTAAGCGTGTAGTCGAAATTTGCAAATGACTGTAAAACAAATGTCAAGAACGCACTGGTACTTTTTCGGTTATAATTATGTACCTATGCTTACTGGTGTGCCATTTATTTTGTATTGATTAGGTACCGATTTTGATTTGTTTCGGTTATTAGAACGCGGTAGGTATTTACATTTTCTCGCTGGTTCCAATTTCCAACACTGAAAGTTGATATGCGCGCGTTTATAATTTGCTACTACCCGCTCCACAGCAGCTGGCAGTGCAGTTGCCTGTTGTACAAACGCAGCTTTGTTTATTTTTTCGTTTCCTCCGGTGTTTGAATAGATTCGGCGAAGGAGAAAAATCGATCCGGGAATCAAGCCGGTGGCTTTTGAACCTCGGCGTCGTTGAACGCGATTACCGGTGCAGTCACGCGATCCGCATTTCACGTGCGCACACTTGATGTATACATGGGTAATAGGTATGGTTGGTCAATATTTAAAGTCGGAAATAATATCGTTGCAGATGGGTTGGCGGGTAAATTAGGCGTTTAGGCGCGTAGACAAGACAACTTCAAGCGTTCAAGTCGAATCGCGGCTGCTCCCCTCTGCCCTTTATGTTTTCTCCGCGTCTACATATTTCATGCGGCATTGAGTGTCAAATTTTGGGAACCATTGATTCAAACGTTTGTTATCGACTGATAGGCGTGTCCTGATATTATAATCACTAATCTCATTCAAAACATCAAAACTTTCAAGGGCTGTTCGCGTACCTACTCGACGACGACGACGACGACGATGTACGTCTGGCCGTCGCCGTGTGTTCATTTATTCTGTAAATCGTTGCTAGTCATGTGACTGAGGAGTGGCTCATTGCGTGCGCTATGAAACCATCCGAAAGCGTCCAAGTTTGCGCCACCGAGTCGTTCGTCCGGTGACAAATGTCTGGCCGATCTCTTCCGTCAATGGTTCGTGTTTCCGAAATCACATTTCCTAATCGCCTCCCTCGGCGGGGAGTGGTAACCGAACAGTCAGTAACACTAACAGGAGTTACTGGTGCTGACCTGTGTTTTCTAACGATAAGTGCCTCTACCTGCCCCCTACAACTGTACAGTCTACTGTAACAGCTTAAGTGTTGCTGTATTTACTTCTACTATTGTTGCTGCTGCTATTAATTGTATTACTGATATTATGATCACTCGTATTACTAGTTATTTTAATGTTATTACTACTACTGGTTATCACCATCAGAGGTTCCAGTCTTGTTTGTCTAGTTTTAACTGTACTCTCCTTGAACACCAATGATCTGATATGACAGTACTGCATTATGTCCTTGTACAGAAATACTAGTTCCACAAAATTTATTAGAGTAGTATAATCTCTCCTTTTTTTTTTTTCTTATATTTTCAGTCAAAATAAATTTAATGTATTGGATAATTATTTTATTCAAATAATACTCTGCACATTTTAGATACTTAATAGTATTATTTTATTATTTTACAAGTTTATTTGGTTATCAGTTTATAACTTTGTCACATTAATGGTTTCGGACTATTTACCTAATAGATTTTGTGAAAAAATCTGTCCATTATGATACATATGATACTTAATTTATATTTCATTTGTATAAATAATATTTTATCTGTGTGTTGATCAATATTGTTTGATTTTTATTTTATGTTTTGCTTCAAATATATGAACTCAACAGTTGTTTGGCAAGTGAATACATATTATGTTAATAGTTCCTTGATTATTTAAAATTTCAAAACATTTTTTTATACTTTCAAGTACTGTTATTTTTTGTACTTTAAATGATACTTTTAATATACTTTTAATGATACTTTTAATGAAATATTAAATTAGTTTTTTTTAAAATCTTTAGAATCTAGTATTTTAAAAACAATAAACAATTTTATACATGATTTTTCTATGTACTATATTACTGAGATGAAATTTTTATTTATTTTTTAACTTTTGAAATATATAAATATTGTAGATCTTTAAAGTATTTTTATTGTAAATTATTAATACCAGTTGGAGCAAATTTTATACAAATAAAACTGAAATAATGTGTTAAACTTGAGTAATTTATACAATATAAATAATTTATCAATTATTTTTTTCTCATTAATTCAACCTATTTACCATTTATAACAGTAGATATATCTAAATAATACATTTTAAACATCAATACGTCATTTTCATACAAATTTACACATTTAATCTGTATAAAAAATGAACTTTTAGTATTTTGAATTAATTGTTTTGATAAATTTTGTGTTGTAAAATATGAATATTGCAATTTACTAAACAATACACAATTAAAAATGTTTATCAATGATTAAACTATTAAAATATCAATTATTTTTATTACCTACTAAGATTAATACCTATAATGAGAATGACTAATGATTTTTTACATACTTGTATTATTAATCAATGGAATGAGATTCAAGATTTTTAGATAAATATATAAGAATAAGATTAACTTATTCGATTTTTAGCAGACTATTTTAACAAAAATTGTTAACCATTTTACATGATTTTTTGATAAAAAAAAATATGTTTATGAATTATTAAATATTTATGTCTGACTTTAAACACAATTGAAATTTAATGTACAAAAGACCTATAGTTAATTTTATATCTTTTGTAATAATGATTCATTTTCAACAGCTATCATTTTATTTTAGTTATATTGTTTTGAACTATAAAACTGTAGATAGTTGTGGAACTAGTGTTCAGAATTAATATTTATTTTTTTGGATGTGTATATCTTTAGTAATGTGTTGACATACATTCAAAATATCTCAATAATATTGGTTTGTTTAATTTTGGTTTTCCATTTTTAGTAATTTTGTTAAATTTTAATTAGTTAATTGTTTACTTATTTTCAAATTATAAATTTATATTTCATTATAAAATTATATATAATATACATATCTACTTTAAATAGTAAAGTGAATATCTACTTATATTACAAGGCTTTATACAAATATCATAATTTATATATTTACTTTTTTTTTAGATGTAATGCATCTAATTAAATAATTTAAAATGGATAAGGACACGCCAGTTATTTACAATACAGTCAGCGGTATGGAGGACTCCTACTGGAACATTACCAACGTACATCTAGATGATTTTAAAATGGATAGTAATTTTGTCTCAATGCTTTTTTCATTAATATCTGGAATGATATGGGTGATTTATATCACATACTACAACTCTAGGGTAACAGCATATATTGTCACCAGACTGTTGACTAAATTTTATGCTACAAAAGGATACCTTAGTATTGGTTAGTATATATAGGTATTAGTGATTATTATTGTTTAAAAATTAACATAATCCTTATTATACGTGTAATTTTAAATTAAACATGAAACTATGTATAATTATAGTACCAATAGAATAAATATATATTAATATAATCATTTTACATATATTATAATATAATATAATTTAATTTAGGTACCAAATATTTTTAGCACAATTTTTCATATCATAATCTTAAAGTTTTTATATTTTTGTAGGTTCATTTACAGTATGTGCTCTTTCTGGTAAGATAATGTTTAGAGACATTGTGTATATAACTGAAGATTATACCATAAGAGTACAGGATGGCTGGTTGATATTCCGTTGGTGGCGATCTTATGTTCCTAAAGATGTGTCAGAAGGTTAGTGAATGATTTTTATTCAAATATAATTATTTCATTGTTTGTCTTAATTTTGTTTTTGTTTTATTTGTAATTGTATTAGTTAAATTAATTTTATATATCCCGTATCCCGTTATTCATTAATTTTACTGATTAACATATGGTTTTTTTTTTTATGTATTCTCTAGATTTGTCACATTCTGATACAAGGCTGTCTGTTATGTTAAATGGTTTTGAACTTCATGTATATAATCGTTGTAAAATGTATAGTAATTTAGAAAAAGTATTCAATCTAGAACCGTCAATTATTCCTTGGGACGAATTGAGTGTCAGTAAGTATAAAATAATAAAGTTGATTATAGGTATTATTATTTTGATTATAAATAAATAAATAAATTAGAAAAGTAAAAAATACTAATATTTTTTTTTTTTCAAAGAGGAAGAAGAAAAAAAAAATAAAGATAAAAAACAAGAAGCAGTGCTTGGTAAAAGCTGGAGGGATCTTATACCTGTGATAAAATTGGAAGTGTCATCGGTCAGTTGTGTTATTTATTTTATGTATAAATATTTTTTAACTGATAATTATGTCATAATAATTTTAAATATAGGGTCGAGTTGTATTTGGCAATCGACTCATACCTACCACTTTACTAGTCAATGTTGAAGAAGCACATTTTGTTTATTCCACTAAGCCAGCTGCTTCTAAATTGGATCATTTTATGCATTTTGTTAAATGCAAAGCAGAAAATTTTAAAGTAAAATATTTAATGTTTTTTTTTTTTTTTTTTTTTTAATATTATTTAAAAATTGTGTTTGATTTTATAGGTAATATTAGCACCTAGTCCTAAGTATACTGGCATGGCAGATGATCCACCTCGATATATGGGTGCTGGATTTGTTGTGTTTTCTTCAAATAATATAGAACTTTACTATTACATGGATGAACCAGGTAAATTGTTTAGTATAATATCTAAAATAATTCTGTATTGTATACTTGAATATTACTTATATATATATATATATATACACATTTATTTTATAGGAGTTGTACCTGAAAAGCCAGAAATGTTACGATTAGCAAATGGAGACATAGTTGAATCTGCACCGCCCATTTGGGGGATCGATATAAAGGTATCAAAAGTATTATTTAAAAACTTTTAATAAGTCAAACTCAGTTTTAATAAGTCAAACTCAGTTTTAAAGTAAAATCAAACTTAAATTTAAGTGTTTAATTTATTTTGAATTGAGTGACGTTTAGATTTTAATATTTATTTTCATTGTATTATGTTTTAATAAAATATGTTATTTATAATTAATTTTATTATTATTCATTTAGTGTGGCAAAGGAACTGACTTTAGTTATGGGCCTTGGGCAGATAGACAAAGGGAACATTTATTTAAGTTATTTTTTCCTCAAGATTATCAACCTCTTAAGGTTAATATTCATTTTTAATTGTAAAACTTCTAGAATCAATATTTTTAACATTTTTTTGTTCATATGTATTTAGTTTAGTGATCCACCATTACCAGGCCAAAAGCGTCAAGTACAAGCTTTTGATATTCGTCTTAATACACTCTATGAATCTACAATTGATATTTTGTTTTCAAAAAACAAAGTAAACCTCATGTTTAAATTATTTTTAAACAGCGTTTTTTTAAGTATTTTAAGATTATTTTCTTACATCAAATAATAATATTACTTTTAGGAAACAAATGCAATTCACATAAATGTTGGCCCGGGTTCATATATGGAAATTACCTTACCATGGTTAGTAGCACATGATGGTTATACTACTAAAATTACTGGGCAGCTTCTTCATTTAGAAGCAACTACAAGTTTACAAGTAAAATATTTTCATACATTTCAGCTAAGAGTATATTTTGTACAATATTTTATTATGTTTAAAGTTTCGAAGCTTATTAGAGAGTGAAACATTAGAATTTACAGCTCATTGCCACTATCCAATTCAATGGAATGATCATCAAGAATGGTTGTTTAATTTAACTGGTTGTAAAGCCACTGGATGGTTTACCTATGCTCATAAAGGATTTTTTCAAGGTAAATCAATTTTAACTTAATATCATATGTTGAAAATTAATTTAATTTTAAACAGAAATGATAAATGATTGGGCCAGCAAAAGTAGGCCAGATATTTTACATTTTGTGCCATATACATGGAAATTTTCAGTTCTTATGAAAGAATTTGAATTAATAACCATTAGTAATGAATACAATTGGATTGATTGTTCATCTCAAAATCAAGAAAATGGTAATTTATTTAAGTTATAATAATTTATAGTATTTAATATTTAATGAATGTGTGTGTAGGCAAATAAAGTATAGAATAAATAAAATATATATAAATAAATGCTTAATCTGGAGTATTACTATTGTATAATTATTTTAATTTAATTTAATTTAATTCTTAATTTTATTAACTTTATATAATGATGATGAATTTTTAATTCAAAATTGGTTGTGCATTACAAATATAATAATATTCCAGGCTAAGCATTTATTTATTTATTTCTATATTAATTTACAAGTATTAACTAATTTTTATTTTATTTTTATTTTTAATTATTTTATTGAAAATTAAATATCTTTAATTTTATGTTTTTTTTATGTTAATATGTAGCTCTTATTGCGGCTAGTGGTGATTTATTCGATTTTTCATTTGATCTTCCATTTACGGAATTTTTGCCTGATACATTACCTCTTCGGTTTTGGATACAAGGTGAAAGTATAGATTTATCTATGCATTTGCCTGAAGTATATACAAGTCGAAGTGTCTTATTATCGTTAAATAAAAATGCTAGACTACTTGGACGTGATGGAAAAATATTTAAATCAAAATTGGACGACAATGCACGCAAATGGAGGAATGTTTGTCAAAAAATGTAAAAATAACTTTAACACTTTTGATACATGATGTTTTACCATGGTTTGTTTTGTTTCAATTTAGTCATGGATGGGTGGATTGCTGGACTATGCCAATTGTTGCTTTGTCAATTAATTTTATTTATCATCCAATGCCAATGTATGGGCCACCTCCTCAAGCTGATATTACTACTCCAGAGAAAGAAGAAAAATTACTTTCTCCCATGAGAATGCAACATCATAAAACACAAAATATTTCTATTCCTTGGACTCGAGTTAGTAGATTATAGTTTTTATTAAAATAAAAGTAATTTCAATTGATTTTACAATATTTTAGGAAAATGATCAAAAATTTGATCCCACTACTTTACCAGCTGATAAAGTTAGTTTAGAGTTAGAAATTGGGTCATCAGTTATGTTATTGTATGGTTCTTGGCTTAGACATTTCTTTCACTTAAAGGTAACTTATTTTAGGTTTAAGATTTAAAGTAAGGCTTAGAAAGTTTTACTATATATTTTTTCTTAACTAAACTTTTATTCTAATGCTACATACTTTTAGGAAAGTATATTTGGTGAAGATCAAATTTTTACTGATATGACTGATAAGTTAAATCCAAAAAGTACAAATAATACAGATAAAACTGTCGAACAAGATAGTACTTCTGTATCTGATGTAAAAATGCAAGTTGATCCACGAGAATATAGGCCATTGGAAGTTGTAATTTCTATTACAATGCATGACTTGCAGGCTCACCTTATAAAAGTAACTTAACTAAAATACATTTTTAAATAAAATAATTTTAATATTTATGTTTATTTTTAAGAATTGTAATGAGAATGATCCTCCTTGTCCAGTTATAATAATTGAACGTTTCGGATTGGAAATGAAGAAATGTTATAGAGATACTCAATTACAAGTCTTATTATCACCAAGTTTACTTATATCTAGTGATAAACTAGGAAATCGACCAGTAAAAGATCATCATTTAAACCAAGGACATTTAATGCTTTCTGCTTTACAAGTACATTATATATCAATTCAATATATATATTGAATAGTTTAAAAAGGTTTTTCATATATTTTTATATTTAAGATCCGAGGCCATGCTATGTTTAGTGATGCTGAAAGGAATTTAGATCAAGATACTTTAGAATATGCATGGTTATTAGAAATTCAATTAGGGAAACTAAGTGGGAAAGCTACTGCTCCTCAAGTAAGTTTTTATAGTTTGTATAGTATTTTACAGTGAATGATAGCTATCGTATTCATAATCAATATATATCGAGTATTTAGAAAAATATATATTTATGAAAATGTTGGTTAATTTGAGTGTAAATTTATTAATTAATCTAAAATAATATTTCAGCTGTTTCATGTTATAACTGGTCTGGAGACTCTGTTCTTATTAATGTTTGATTCTGAAAATCAACTGAAACCCGCCCATTTACCATCGGAATGTCATCATGGTTCACCTCCTTCAACATGTCCTCATAATGATGCACAAGCTCGTTATAGATGTCCTACTGCTGATGAGATAAAATACCGAATGACTCGTGTAGCTATTGATGCTTTGGACATCTATCTAGTCGAATCAGGAACAGCTATTAATTTATGGGTAATTTTTTTTATTTTTATTCGTAACATTTATTATATTTTAATTAATTGAATGTAAATAAATCTCATACTAGATATATATTGATCTCAGTAAAAACCCTAAAAACTTAAAAA